CTCTGACTTGTACTGATGTACTTCTTAGCATCTTGTATACTGATGCATACAAGAAGTAGAAAAGTGAGAAGAACTGGTGAGAGTACAGGGCTCTGTGGTGTTCCTTTTCTATTGACCATCTTGTCAAACCCACAAACCCTTGAGTCCCTGAAACTGTGGGTACATGTGTCTTCTGGAGGTTCTTATACAAAAATGTAGAGTAAGATTGGAAGCATATGTATAAAACTAAAGTACATGATCCTCCTACTGCCTACTGCATCTGTGTCCAGATGCTGAAATAGTTTCATCAACCCTAAAAGCAAGCTGCAATGTATCCTGAAATACTATTAACTTTGAACGTGTTGCAATTATTATATCGGAAATCATATCTGATTACATGCTTCTGTTTGACAAATACACTGCTGAGCAAAAATTTTAAGACCAGTTGAAAATAACAAGAATTTCCATTTTGGACTGTTGTACCTGAAAACGGTTTTGAGTATAAATTCAGAATGCAAAAAGAAGAAATGGGAGTGAAACCAAAAAAAAAAAAAACTTAATTCCAGTTTGCTTTGTTAAAAAAAATGCTTACTCATATTTTTATTTTTTTTGTCTCACTCCCATTTCTTGTTTTTGCATTTTGAAGTTCTGCTTTCAATCCTTTTAAGATTCAACAGTGCAAATCGCAAATTCTTACCATTTTCAAATGCTTTTAAATTGTTTCTCCTTCCACTTTTTTACTTTTGAAACAAATAAATTCAATTCTCCTTGTCATATTTATGAAGTTGGAGATGCTCCATCACCATCCTGCTGAAATGCAACTTTATTCTTGAAGCTATGCCAGCAGCTAAGTATGACTAATGACAAAACAAATCCACCTTTATGTAGTCCAAGATCACATTAGTTCTCTCTACATTGCTGCCAATTATCTAATTATCTAATATTTTACAAGATAGATATATTTAAGAGAGACAAAAAGGATATTCTGCAAACTATCAGCTTGTGTTTGGTTGAAATGGGTTGCAGGAGGTTTTGGGGCACGTTTCACTTTTTGATCTGATTAGATTTATTAGATTTAAATGCAACACTATTAAGTTGTGAGAAAAAAGTGTTGTAAGTTGTAATGGATCATAAAAAATCTAAATTTTCTGAATTAGACAAACTAATGTTTGGCTATAGATATTATCAACAGAAAAAAGACAGCAGTGTGTTTTATGGTGTGGCCTACAAGTCAGATCAGTGATCATGGCAACCTTTGCCTTTAGATCTGTAAAAACCTGTTATAATATACATTCAGGTGAGCCTCTGCTCCAATTTCCTGCCCTGGAAACATTCTGAAGAGCGACTCCAGCTGAGTTTTTCATTCTCACCGTCTGAGACTTTCTGATTAGTTCAGAAGAAAAGACAGCCTCCAAAAATAAGCTCAGGTTACCTAACAGAGGGAAGAGAAAAAAAAATCTGGATCTTATTGGGTCCCTCAAACCTCAATTTAGTTCTTATGATGTTACATAACTTGTCTTGTTCCTATTAGCATACTCACTTTAAAAGCCTTTTTTTTAATCTCAGCTCTTGGTAATTAGAGATTTTAAGATCACCTTTTTACACACATGAATGTTGAAATATATATGCATGAACTGCTTTCAGATCAGGTGATTTTGAAGCAATGGTACAAAATCTATATAAGAGAATTAGATAATAGCTTTTCAGCATGTTAGATATGTGCTCTTTAGGCATAAATTCACAATTCAAACATTTTTCACTCTTTCCCTTGGTACATTTTCAAACTTTAGTTCAACTCCTGGGAATTTTGTGTGGAAGACAGACTAATACAATGCATGCTTACAAAGTAAAAGGAAAAGAATACAGGATTTTTCACATTTTTTTAACAAATAAAATTATGCTAACTGTGGTATGCATTTATATTCATCATGCATTTGGACCTCCCATGGCTTCATACTTTGTGGAACCACCTTTCACTGAACTTACAGCAGTTGCTCAGCAGCAACTACAGCTGTAGCAGTTTTGCTCATGTTTTAATTCAGCTCAATTCAAAAATATCTTGTTGATCCAAAATGGAAATTAAATGTTGTTGTAAATCATACTATTGAAGGTTCTTCAAAGAGTTATTGTAGATGCTGGAGGCCTGGAAAGACCTCCTCTAGCTGTCTGCATTTCAGTAAATCTGACAAAGCCTCTGAATGATATTTCTGCAAGTCACTGTATTCTGTCACATTTTATAACCAAGGAGGAGAGATGTTGGTGTGGATTTGGTCCCTAAAACCTCAAATTCAAGGATAAATTTCCAAGAATTTATCTATATTATCAAAAGACTAGAATTTGCTCATAAAAAGCCTTTTTCCTTGTGATGTATTGAGATTATGAAGTGATTCTTTTGTACTCTCTGTGCCTTAATGCTGTAAAACTTCCAAAGGAAAATAGGCTAAATATTTCCTAAAATATTTAATCCAAATAACTAGCTTCCCTATTAATAATTTACTTATTGCTAAAGGTTTTGTAAGTCATTAATCAGCAATCCTGATAGGTTAGTTATCAAAAACCGTCGGCTAAAGTCAAGATGTCATCTCCAGTCAATAAATGTTTCATGAGGAATTTGCAAATTAATCTGTTCATTTTGTAGTAGTACATTTTAATATGTTACCCATAAGTGGATTTTATGCCCTGCGGTCATTGTCAATTGGTCAAAAAGTCAATCAGAGGTTGGCGTGTAGCTAATTAAAAAGCATAAACTACAGTGTGAAGCTAAAGAAGAATTTTATGCAATCTGGGAATCAACACAATATTGCTATTGGGTAATAAATAATTTATTACTGCACTTTTGAATCATCATTCATGTGTTACCTTCTAATGAACCGGGATGTAAAGCAAGTGAAAAGTTACTCATTACAGTCATTGATAGGCAAATTAGGTTAATAGACTTCAGCTGCATCGCAGGTTCACAGTTTGGCAAACCCGATATAGGCTAAATGTTTCCCAGAAAGTTTTCTTTGCACTGTGTGCAATTTGTAACTTTGATAAAAGTAAATATGGGTTTAGTAAATATGTCTACCTCTGAAAATATATCTGCTTTTTAACCAGAAGTCCGGTCAAACAGCACTCTTCTATAGTTACTTTATGCTTTGCTGTGTATAACTGCTTTAAAAGCTGGACAGGGCTGCAGACCCTGGTGGCTAAGGAACATCAAAACTCTTAACAGGAACTGGAAAAAAGCAAATTGTCATGAAAAGAAAAGAAATTGTTAGAAAATAACACATTTATATGGTCAAAAAATTCCAGATAGCTTAGCTCTGTTTATATGTTTGTTAGCATACTGTTAGCATGTAACCAGTAGTTGCTACAGGAAAATAAAAAAGACAAGATAAAACTTTCCCAAGTTGTGTTTGAATTGTCTGTTCATTTATTTTTTTAGTAGACAGCACAGTAAATTTTGTGGTGAGGTCTCAAAATCACATCTTAACTGTGGAGGTCATGGTGATGGTGTGTAGCATTAGCAGCATAAGCATATAGATATTTGAAATACCAATGTGTTCTTTTTAAAGTGTGAAACTTTCTGATTAATAACAACAATAAGTCTTTGGGAAGATTTTGTGCACTTGATTGCCTAAGGTCAAACAAAGTTTAAGATCTGACAGAAATAGCACAGAGAAATACAAAATGTAGTTTTTAAGTAATGGAAAGGGTTACATTAGCGCAAAAAGAGCCATGTAACCAACTGGGCCATGTTGGGAAATACCTAGCTCACAAACTGATTGTGCTTAAACATTTTTGGTTCAATTTCATGAACCACATTCAAGCAGTAACTGTAAATGTAAATTGCAAAATAAATCAAATGTATTATTATTATTGTTATTATTAGTCCTTTAGAATTTAGAAGAAAGTGTCCACAACATGAAACAGGCTAAATAACCTAATTAGCAATTTCGTCCCATTGGATGTAAGCATTTTTTTTATATTAAAGTCAGTGTCCATTTTATAAATTGTGCCATTTGGGTTAAAAATATATAAACGTTTGGTCGGATAGATGAATTATAGAAAAACATGGCCTGCTGTCTGCCATAATAGTGTGCTTCACATAATCAAAGTTGTTATTGATGACCGTATTAGTTGTATCACTTGTGAATTTACCACTGAGGGAATTCCCAACTGCAGGATCAATAAAGTAATTATAATGCCCTTTCAGGGCTTCCAAACAATGACAGTGGCGGTCATTATGATCATCAAAGGGAGCGAGAGGGAAATTCCTCTGGCAGACAGCAGGGATTAGAGGATTATCTTTCCCCTCTGTCTCTGGCCATCTCCACGCTGCTCCCACGCAACGGATTAGTTTTTATCTACAAGGTAATCGGGGCTTTACTCTTGTCTGACAAGACTACAACTCCCACTGTCACACGTAATGTACATCAGCACCACGCTGGCTCACAATCTGCTGGGGTACTGACTCAACAGTACAATAGATGGAGCAGAGATGATTTACAAGACTTTAACCAGAAACACTATGAAGGCATCTGAATGAGGTAGTTTCATCTGACATATTTGTCTTTGGCATAAAACACAGTATTTAAGAATATCTTTTATTGTCATCTGTGTGTGCATGTAACAGCCAATGCCTGAATCCAAAATGTCAAATAGGAGAGAAAAGACAAAGGGAGCCAGTTTTTCCCTTGACCTTTCCTCTGTACTGTTTCTGAGATGTCCAATCACAACTCTTTGGTGATATCGTGGTGAAGCCTTTTACCAAGATAAAAGGCTTGGTATCTGGGTAGTTGTAGTGACTTTTTTTGTGAAACTTTGCAATTTATGGTGTTGTTGCTAAGAAGGTTCTTTTGTTACTTATTTCAATAACAGGGTACACCGGCTTCCTCCCACAATCCAAAAACATGACTGTCAGTTAATGAATGAATGAATGAATGAATGAATGAATGAATGAATGAATGAATGATGGACGGACGCATTGATGGATGGGTTTCAACCCCTTCTTAAAAAATCAACAGATTTTTGCCTCTTTGAAGACTTAAAGTCATCCAGTTTTCACCACGACTGAACTTTCTTGTCAGACACAAACTTTCCGTGAGGTTCTGTAGTTTCAGGCGGCAGAAGGGCAAGATATGCCGGTGTGACGGCGCCCTCATCTGGTGACTTGGCTGCTTTCTGACCAGCCATGTCGGTGCGCACCCATCCTGGACAGCAAGCGTTCAGCAAGATCTGAGAAAAGGAGCTTAAATAAACACGAGTGTGCCTAAACCATGACTGAAGAGCCAGATAAAGACCGAAGGATTATAAAATCTAACATTTAAAAGAAATTTTGTTGTTCGTTACCCCATCATGTGGTCTCTCCTTGGACAGACATCGAGCCAGGATCATGGACAGAGTCTAGAGCAAAACAAACATCAGAAGTTTCTTTAAGGTTAAACAAAGTTGAGTAATACTGTCAGATTGGCCCAGCATTAGAATATTTGAATAATATAGAAAATCTTTAATTGCTAAACTGATATTACTTAAAATTTGTTACTACCAAGATAGTTGAAATTAGTTTTATCATCTATAGAAATTAAGAGATTTCTTTGTTTTCAGATTTTCTGAGTTTGAGTTCAGTTTCACTTCATTTTACATATTGTGTAACAAAAAATCATTAAAGTTATTTACAAATAAAATAAATTGTAAACAAAAGAAGAACACTAATAAAGTATATTTACTCATTCGGGGAGTGAGTGGAAGCATAAACTTATTTTTACACCAACCCCTATGACATCAATAGCATCATCAATAAATTACTATTCATGTTAACTTGGTTATAATTGATGAGGGTGAAAATAGTTTGAAATTATTGCCTGTACAGTGGCTCATTGTGCAAACCAAAACAAATAAAAACATTAATATTTTACTATACTATAGTATTCTTTCTTAGTATTTTCTACATCCACATCTAAGTCAATCCTTTTTAACATGTTCAAATTCTTTCTACATCAATGCAGTAATGATTGACAACGTCATTAAATAGTAACAATAACACTGATAAAAATAGTAATGACAGTAATTATTTTTTATACTGATATGCAGTGATGACCATCTTAAAAAGTTTGAAATTCAAATAAAGAAGTCTTTCTTTTTGTTAAGCAAAGCTCTTTTTAGTTTTTGGCTTTAAACAAAATCATTTTCTGTTTGTATTTACGTGGTGCAATATAATTTAAATTAAGCAGACATTTAAAAAATTGAGTGATGTGAGTCCAGTCACATTAGTGGCGTTACAAAACTTATCCTAAAATTTGTTTTCAGTGTGAAAGAACCAATGAAAACTGATCTTACAGTCAGTCCCAGTTTCGACACGCCGTATGGCATTTCTGGCCAGCCGTCTTGCTTGTGCTCTCCTTTCTTGGCCTTGTCGACAAATCGCTGCATCAGGCCTACCAGCTCGTCCTCTGTGATGTCATCGCTACGGAAACGCTGCTGAAGCACCGGGCTGCACTTGTTTAGGGTACAGGCACTAACAAAGCTTGAGACGTTCACCACACGACCTAAAAACAAATGCAGAGATGACTTACAGGTTACCAACAAGTTTCTGGAATACTACAACAGATCAAAATAGATTTGTTCTCTCCATTAACTACAGTTAAAATGCTTAGTAGGGAGGTAGTAAGATGGGGTGCACCAATAAATCAGTTCCAATTTCCTTAATTTTAGGCAGCTGGCTGATATTTACATGTCATCCGCAAATGTCTAAAAATCAGTTGCTACATTTTGCGACTTTTCCGACAAAAAAAAAACTGGTATCGGCCAAAATCAGAATTTGCAGGTCAGGCTTTTTAACGATTGCTAATCGGCCAGAAAACTTCCATGAGCTGCACCCAAAGAAGTAAAGCCTTTACCTGTTGAGTTAAAGATAATTTGGCTCAGAAAATGAGTCAAGACGTCTCTGGCAGCAAAGAAGTTTGTCCGTAGGGTCACTTCTGCCTGGACAGCCACCGGAGTCGTGTCTGCAACTAAAGACAGTTTATAAGATCTGAATGTCAGTCCCTTATTACACAGTGGCTTAAAATAATATTCATGCTCTTGGACTTTGCGGTTTTCATACAAAATATGATGCATTTTATTGTAGTTTTGTGTGACAGATCAACATAAAATTGATCTGTCACATAAGGACAGATCAATTAAGGATGTACTAATCCACTTTTTTCCCTTCTGATACAATTTCTGAGGTTTAGTATCGGCCAGTAACAGTCCAAAACAGAAAAATAGCTGAATCGACTTGAAACATTTCTTTTTTTAAACACATACAATAATGTACTGAATTACATATTTATTTGACATCTATGCACCAGTAGAGCACACTTTCATACACCAACAACTTCACAAGCTTTGTCCAACATGAAAAACAACACAACTTTAATTTGTTCAGCCAATGCGGTGAGGGATAGAACAGCCAATGTAAATGAATAATGAAAAACTGAACACTAAAACAACAGGTTGCTACCTTGGTCAAACATCTAAAAAAATGTTACAAATCTTTCAAATGGTTCAGATATTGCAATTAGGAATTCTAAATATAATGTAAAATAAATAATAAAGGGTGATGTTGCTCAGAGCACAAAACATAGAATTAGACTGAGTAGATCAGCCCTTATTAATAGGGCACATTATCACCGATACCCAATCTAGATTTTTTTTCAAAACTAGGACAAATGCAGATATTGATATATCGGATCAGTGAATCTTAGCATTAATGTGACATGGAAGGAAATAATACTATGTTTTTAATTGTTTTGTTTTTTTGCTGCCGTTTTAATTATTTATTTATTTTGTTTTGCTTTGCAGAAGAAAACCATCCTCATAATTAATGCTGCCACCACCATACTTCAAGGTAAGGATGGTTGTGTTCAGACCAGTGTGAGGTGCACAGCATTTGGCATGGCAACAGAAGAATTTTGATCTCATCTATAATATTTTTCTCCACAGGATTGCTATTATTCCGGTTTTATGCAGAGGTTTCTGGTGTATTCCCGATTGTTCTTTGTATATTTCATTAATCTGAGTATAATACTTTGAAGTTTATAGGACAGCATCAGTGGGATGAAATGCTTCTGTCATCAAGCCTTATTTATGACATTCAATGGTAAATGTGATTTTAAACAGAATTTTACAAAGGTGAACCTAGACATTCTAATCCAAAGTGCCATTTGATGCATCTAGTGCACTTTGCACTCATAATTAGTCATAGACAAACAAAAGGGAAGTGGTAAAAGTTATGTGAAGGAAAATAATTAACTCGGTCTTCATGTTTGACACCTGAGAGGTATAAACTCTATAGTGAACTGCTGTTGTCTTAGTCCATCCATCTTTTCATTGTCAACCTAAAGTATAATTATCATTTATTCATTTACCCTAAAAACACTTGTTTTCAGTATTCACAGATTCACCCATTTGCACATTTTCCAGAGGAGCGTAACTCTAAATTACTTGAGGAAAACCATCCTATCTGCATTGTCTTTCTTTTTTGTTATGTGAAATTTTCAAAATTTCACATAAATTAAAATAGTAAAGAAATGCAGTTTAGGAAGATATGCAGGTACCAGGGCAACTTGGTAATCTAAGAGTAACGTTTCTCTTCTTTGATGCTGATTGGCTGAACCTGCAATCAGGATGAGTTGGATCAGATCCAACTCATCAAGACCATGAGTTGGATCTGATGACCCAATACAAAATAACTGCAGTCAGAAACCGATAGTTGTTTTGTCAGTCACTTTATTTGTATTTTTGATCAAGAGCTGCTTCAAAATCTTTAATAAATCAATGCAGTTAGAAAAAAAAAATTTTATTGTAGAAAAATATTTTCACTTTTTATTTTAGAACAAGTAGCTTCATCACATTAAGGTAATTGGCAATTTTCCAATGTAGTAACAGTGAGAAATAATAATCAAAGGCAAAAATAAAGTTGGTCAGCACTTTAAACATTCAAATACTGAAGATATTTGAAGTAACAGGCACAAAAACATCACGTTGGTTTGATCATTAAAGCAATAAAGCATCTCTGAAACATGACCTACAGAAGAGTATTATTTAATATAGAAGACATGGGTTTATTATTAGATTCCCGAATGGTAATGTTGCTAAAATATGTAAATAGCAAGAAAATGTGACCTTATTAGACTAGTACTTGGGTTTTAAACATGAGCTGCTTGCAGGTTTTTCACCACGGCTGAACTTCCTTCTCAGAGACAAATCTCCCGTGGGGTTCAGCTGCTCCTGCCGGAAGCAGAGCCAGGTAAACCGGTGTGACGGCGCCCTCGTCTGGAGACTTGGGGGCTTTTGGACCCGCCATGTCTGTGCGTACCCATCCAGGACAGCAGGCATTGAGCAAAATCTGAGTTATGGTAAAACACAAGATTCATGCTAGCAGTTTGACTTTCCTAAACACCGAGTGAATGGAAATGATAATTAAAAAATAAAGTCAAAGTGAGATACCCCGTCATTTGGTCTCTCCTTAGACAGACGACGAGCCAGGATCATGGACAGCGTCTGAAGGCACACAGAACAGAAACAGTTCATGAACAGAACTTCAAGCCTACTAATAATCTGAAAAGTAAGGTAAGGTAATTTTATTTATGTAGCACACAAGGCAATTCAAAGTGTTTTATGTGAATTAGAAAGAAATACAACAAAACAATAAACCAAAGGAAAGAGCAAACGAAGAAAAAAGAAAAGCAAAAAAGTATAACCCCATATTTAAGAATAAGTAATCCATGATTTATAAGCCAATAGGAGTTTCTCTAGATTCTAAGTTTGCTCTCATTCATGAAGTACATGCTCCTATTTTAAGTATATGTATTCCATAATTTATAAGCTAGAAGGAGTTTCTATGGATAATAATAAGCTAAATATTAGTCTAAAGTAATTATTGTGTTGGTTCACCATCTTTGATTCAATAAAATAGATGATCGTAAATGTTAATCTAAGGTAGTGAGTGGTTTCTCTAGATGAGTTTCTAAGTTTGATCTATTTCTGCAATACATCAACTAAATGTTCCTGTTCTGGGCTGCTAAGCAGAATAAGGATAGCTGGCAAAAGATCCAAGAACCTGAAACAGTTGACAGTAATTGACTGGTTTAAGTGGATGCTTAAGTGTTCTATCATTTAAGGACTACAGAACACCAAACCTGCCATATCAACGACTAAATACAGAAATAAATAACTAGCTTAATAAATAAAAAGTGTAGTAAATAAATTAATGTATCATTAAATGCAATAAAATTTTAAAAATTTATTCCATAGTAGATCAATAAATCAGAAAAATTTATATTTATACTTTAATCCAAATATAATTTCTCTCTATGTTCTTATTCTCCATTAACAAATATTGTTTCTGAGTTTTTTAGCAGATTTGATTTAAATGCTGTATTGTTTCTTTCCAGTCCCTTTATTTCCTAACAAATATATTTTTATTTTTTTCTTATACAGTTTTCTGTCAAGTTTGGATAGCTGCTTTTGATGCTTAATTCAAATTTTTGGCTGACATTCAGCTTCTTTGTGTTTGTGCGCATGTGTGTGTGTGTGTGTGTGTGTGTGTGTGTGTGTGTGTGTGTGTGTGTGTGTGTGTGTGTGTGTGTGTGTGTGTGTGTGTGTGTGTGTGTGTGTGTGTGTGTTTATACTACTAATTAAATGTGACCACAACCAGACTTCTTTGTGAACGTTTTGCAACCCCAAAAACCCCAAAATCCCCCGATACTCAGAAGAAGAACATTGGCATCATGAAGCAGCACATTGACGGTAAAAGTGATAATGGATGCTGCCATCTATGGATCGATTTTAAAGTTATTGAGCAACTGAAGATTGTAAACAGAAGAAGGACAGAACATTGACTTTAAGAGCAGAATTATGACACCTCAACTAAATTATATAAAAGTCGGATAAAATGTGACTGTTTTGACTACTGAAATTTGAAAACTGTCTGATATGTATCAGATTTTGGGCCACCTATGGAAGTGACACAAATCACTTTTTTTGGGAGGGTGAAAAGATTGCAATTGGCAGACTGCGATTAAAAGGTCGGCTTTGGATCTGATTTGCCAGTAGTGTGAACTTGGCCTAAGTTTTCTTATCCATCGCAAAGTAAAAACACAGGGAGAAGCTTTTTGGAACAGCGTCCTCTATGGACTGAGGTCCATCTTGTTGGAAGTAGATCCTAAACTCAACCATGATCACCTGGTACATGACTGACCAGGCTCAATCGTGTTCAAGCTTCTTGATAAGGAGCTGGAACAAAAATCTAACTTCTCTCATGTTGTTGCTAATTAACTTTAGTGTTTTGAGGATTTGACATTTTAAGGACCTCAATGTTAAATTAACATCCTCAAGCATTTTTAATAATTCTTGATTTATCTGAACTCAAAGCAGCCCACAGCAGTTGATCTGTACTGTGCAAATAAAAATGTAGACTTTATGATAAACAACTTTTTCCTACATAGAAATAAAAATATTCAGAAAAGTTGCTTTTATGTTAAATATTTTAATAATGCTGCAGCTACAAATGAAGTACAAAAAGCAAAACGATCTTAAAACTGGTTCCATGTAACCACTCAGGTCATATTAGTTGGAAATTAAAATTTATTTTGTGATCTGTAACATTTAAATATGAAATCTGTAACAAATGATGAATAACATTTCACAGCTCTGTTTTTCCTACCGTCAGTCCAGTTTTCGAAACTCCGTAGGCCGTATCCGGCCAGCCATCTTGCTTGTGTTCGCCCTTTTTGGCCGTGTCAACGAATCGCTGCATCAGTACCGCCAGCTCGTCCTCTGTGATGTCGTCGCTACGGAAACGCTGCTGGAGTTCTGGACTGCACTGGTTCAGAGTGCGGGAGCCGACAAAGCTGGAAACGTTCACAACACGACCTGAAAAACAGAGAGGACATGAAAAACTATGCATAGCATAAACATAATGTAAGATATCTGTGTTCACACAGTGAATAAATACATCATCCAAAATATAATGGCAAGGTTCTGAAAACCACCTGGTGGACAATATCAATATTACCATCATGGGTCAAGAATGGACCCTTGAAGAACTTCATATGCTATGTTTTATTTAATTATTTTAAATGTATTGTTTCATTCGTAGATATTTCTATAAATATCCATTTTCTGTCCATTTTCTCTACAGTCTATTTAAAGGTAAAATAGTTATGACATAGGGATTCTCAGCTGAAACTAGATGACAAAAGCAGAAAAGAATATGTTTTTAGAATCTAAAAAATATATACATTTAGTTTTTTTCCCCTTTAATTTAATTAAATATTTTTCTTCCGTTTTACTTATAATAATTTGTAGTGATTAAAAGAGTTCATTTAATTTACATCTTCAAAATCAAATATGAACAGTTCCTCAGAAACATTTTTGATTTTTTTTCCACCAAATGATTGACAGGATGATCAGAAACTTGTATCAAAATGGAATGAGATCTGACTCTGTACCTCCAGCTTTGATGAGAGGC